GCCCCCCCCCCCCCACACACACATACACCTGCACCCGCAGAGCTCCTGAAGGCCCCAGCCTTGAGTACTTATCTGATTCTATGGGGATGAAGGTGGAGAATTTGCATTTCTAATAGTTTCCCCACCGGTGATGATGTTACCAAGGACCATACCCTGAGACCGAAAATCGGGGCATCCAGAGGGCTTTTCTTAGAAACATTCAGCTTTGTATGAACACATTTCTACCAATGACTGTTTCCTGTTGGAAGATCCCATGAAAGCAAATGACCATCTCGCTATTAAGTTGTACACAAACATCAATTCTAGGGGGGTCCTGGGCTTTGCACAGACCAGTGTTGAGAAGCCCTAAGTTGTCAGTTATTCAAAATTAATTCCCCAGCAATTTCTTTAACTGCCTTTGCCCAGCAAGCCAGGAGCCATCAGTCCCAGTCATCTTCTGGCAGAAAATTCTAGGCTTCTGTTTCTGGCTCCATTCTACTTTCCCCAGGGGCAACTCCTGCCTGGCAGCCCTCTGTGGCCAAAGTTCAATCTTGGCCTTGCTTTGGGGCAAGCGGACTGAGCCAGGCTTGTGCTTGGCAGAGGTGTGTTTGGAAAGTCACCCTGTGTGACCAGGGTGGTCTTCTTCCCTGCCTGCTCCCCTCTGAAGAGTCAGGGTTCTCTCTAGAACTCTCACGGGGCTCCTTTTCTTCTTGCTTTTGAGTCGTCCGCAGGTCTGGCCTTTTCTGCTCACTGGTTATCTCAGTCCCTGCTCAGCTGCCTGGCAGGGTTTAGTACTTGACAAGCTCCAACCTTCTCCTGACCCCCTGTCTTCGCTGCTACTGAGCTTCCATCAGTAGGAGCACACCGAGGCTGGTTTAGCAGACAACCTGAACTCCACAAGATCATCCAGTCTCTGGGTTCTTTAGGCTAGGAAAGTTGACTCAGTTGATGGTGACCCCATTATCCTATAGCTCTCCAACGCTGCAAGTCATATTCCCTTCTCCCGCCCTGTTGGAGCTTTCCACATGGGCTTGGAGGGTGCATCTGCTTCTCATTCCCATTTATAGATGAGGCGGCGGAGGCTCAGGTTGAAATAGCAAAGCAGGGCAGGCATCCACTGAGCATTTCCTGGGCCAAGTACTTATGTGCATTTTCTGATTTAAGCCTTACAAATGGCCACAGAGGTGGACATAATTGGTTATCTCCGTTTCATAGAGGAAGAAGTGGAGCTGAGAGGGCTTGGGTACCTGGCCAGGGTCGCCCAGGTGGGAGGTGGTAGGGGCAGGATTGGAGCAGAGACTGTCTGGTTCAGGAGTCTGCATTTCCATCCTCCCGGCCGCACTTCTCAAGGGTTTGCACCGGAGGCACAGAGCAGCGTGAGACAGGCGTGAGGGAGCCCGCTCAGTCTCTGCAGATGAACAGTTTGGTGGCCTGACCCAGCACAGGCAGGGAGCTGTGCTTGGAGCCTGATGATGGACAAGGCACAAACCAGTAGAAAGCCACGGTTCTGGAGCCAGAAGACCTGCTTTGAGCTCTGACTTCTCCCCTCTAGGCAAGTCCCATCTTGAACCCAAGCTTCAGATTTTTTAATCTAGAAAATGGAGAAACAAGACTTCCTAAGGTAGTTTTTTCCCCCTCGGGTCAACTAAGATAATGAAGCAAAAGGGCTTCTCTACCCCTAACGGCAGTGAAAGGCAAGGCTCCGAAGGGCAGAGTTATAATTAGCAAGCTGGCAGAAGGCGGGCACCCCGTGTTCAGAGCCAACACGGTCCTGGGCTGTCCTTGCGGAGGGAAAGCTGGGTTTCTGCCCTCAGAAGCCTTTGCCTCCGCCCACCGTGCTCCTGCTGACAGTGAGTGCCTCTGCTTTGCTTGTTCACCGACAGATGTGAGAGCAGAGGTCCATGTGCAGACGGAACCCCAAGTGTCCGGTGTGCCAGGAAGCAGCAGGAAAAGGCCATTGTAAGTGTCCTGGGGCCCCGGTGCCCAGAGTGAGTGGGGACATACAGGGGTGTCAGGAAGTGCTGAGCCTGTCAGCCTTCAACCACTGCCTGGGCATGAGGGACTGTGGCTTGCAGAACGGTTATATTTCCCTCGTTTGAAAGTCGCAGGGGTCACCAGAAGCCATCAAAGCTGACACTATGTAAATTCCAAGCAACAGACTGCCCACGAGGTGTGCAGTTGGTGGCAACTTAGGGCTCAGCCTCAGTGGCTTTGAGAGCACCAAGGGGGAGGGGAGGAGGGAGTACACAGCCAAGCGGACTGGGCCACAAGTCAGCTCTGCCACCTCCTTGAATGTGGCCTTGGGCTTCCCCAAGCTCCCCTCGGCCTGTTAACTCCTCTGTACACAGGGAATTGGGCCTTGTGCTTTCTAAGGTTTTCTTCAACTTGAGCTGGGCTAAAAGACCAGGAGAACCTGTTGTGTCCTCCGCACCCACCTCCCTGGTCCTCTCCCCAAGTGTGCCCACAGCCTACAAAGCTGCCCACCAAGAAAATCTCTTAGGAAGCACCCTGCAGAGGGCAATTGGAGCCAGCCACATACCTCATGTCACTAGAAAAAAGGGAGAGAAAGCAGGATGGAAACACAGAAGGGTAAACAGACTCCCAGGACATGGCGCTTCGGGAACGGGGTCTCTGGAGCAGGTTTTTCTTTTTCTGGCAGTTGAGCAAAAGCGTTCCTTCACATTGAGCTGTATCCCTGCTTCTCTTTATTTTGAGACTGGGTCTCGCTCAGTCACTAACTTGCACAGGGTGGGCTCAGATTCGAATTCCTCCTTGCTTGGCCTCCCAGAGCGCTACGCCACCAGACCAAGCTACAAGCAGGTTCTTAAAGCCACATCGTGAGCATAGACCATCCTGCTGGAGCCCGTTTGGGCCTTTCGCAGTTTGACAAATGTGACACAACCTTAGGCTTCGGGTGACAGTGATGTACAAAGCAGATAAGCCCAGACCCCCATGGTGGGGGCAGAGGGGAAAGAAAGACGGTGGACTCGTAAACAAAGGAATGCGCGATGGAACTACAGATTTCCGGGAGCACTCTGCAAGGACGTCATGACGTCACGACTGAGATTCCCGCTGTCGGGGTCACGCCTGGACTGCTGGAAGAGTGCGGTTACCTGGCTGGGTGGAGAGGCGCAGGGCGCTGGGCCCGAGGGATGGGGAGGAGCTCTGGTACTAGCAGAATTCAGGTCGGGAGAAGAAGAGCTTTCTCTGCTGAGCAGAACCCAGACGTATCACGGCATGAGACAGGTGGTTCCCGTGACTGTTGACGCTGTCCTCCTGGGGCGCCCAGGCCTGAGTGTTCTCCCCGGACACCTGTGGCTCCGGGGTTGGGGGCTGTGCCCGTGCCCAGAGAAAGCCTGTCTAAACCACAGGCAGTCTTGCCCATCCATAGGAGCAGGATCGCATCACAGGTCTCACGAGGAGCAGAGAGGGATTGTAGCCAGGACTCCTGCTCCCTACGTCTGTCACACTGTCCTTGGCGTCTGCAGGTGACGTCATGGTCACAATGCTGTGACCAAGATCCAGCAACTCTAGCAGCCCCAAAGGCCCCATCTCATTACCTCTCCTTCCCACCCACTCTGATCCCCACAAATGACCTGGCTCCTAACACATCTTCAGCAACTTTCAAGTCCACCCCATCGCCACCCGCCTTAGACTCAAGGTACAAGTGCAGGGTGGGGGATTGGGCTCAGTGGTTCCAGTGCTTGCCTCGCAAGCGCAAGGACCCTAGTTTGATCCCCGGTGCCAAAAAAAAGTCAAGATGCAGAAGATGCTGACCGATCATGCAGTGGTATCTGTGGCAACAAGTGCCCTGCCCTCCCCTCAGCCCCTCATCCCCTCATGTAAGCAGTAGTTCCTCTGAGGGCCGCTTTCCCTCTCGTACTCAGTGGCCCTGCTGCATAAGGTCAGGTCCTCCAGTACCCAGGTTGTCGCGGCCTCTCTCTGACTCCAGCTGCTGCTGCTGCTGCTCGGCCAGGCATTAGACAGAGATGAGGACTCCGTGGGAGCAGTGACAAGGTCCCTCTCTGTCCCCTTTCGAACAGGGTGAAGGCCGAGTCGTGTATGTTCAAAATCTCTCCAGCGACATGAGCTCCTGGGAGCTAAAGAAGCGCTTTGAGGTGTTTGGCGAGATCGTAGAGTGCCGGGTGCTGACGAGAAGTAAGAGGTGAGTCCAGACAAGCCGCTGCAGGCAGGGGAGTGGGGAGGGCACAGGTTCCCATCCAGGCTGGGTGCACCGAAGAGGCCCAAGGAGGTCTGTAGATCAGCCCAGAGCAGCACGAGTGAACCTTTTGGAATTTTCAGTGATGGCAGCCCACTGCGGCACGGCTGCCTTGAGTCCGCCACCCCTGGCCTAGGCCCAGGAGCCAGGCCGAGCGAGAAAGGACCAACGGTGATGGTTCACCAGCAAAGGCAGCAGGCGTGGCCCGTGGTTCACCTAAACTTCCCGCGCCCCCGGGTCACAGGCATTTGTATTCTTTATATTGCTTTTCTTTCTGGGGGGCTCGGACCATCTGAGTGTCTCCTTCGTGGCACAGCCAGACTGGCACTCACGGGTCCACCCCCGACCCCCGGCCTCCACGGCATCTCCGCGCTGTTCACGTTCCTTCCACTCTCTGCAGCGGTAGTCCTGGCCCTGGCTCTGTTAGGCAGCCCTGGGTTTTCCTCACCCGCCTGGGGAGCAGTGTTTCATCTGTCAGGGAATCTGCAGAAAGCCCCTGTTGCCACGAATGCACAACTGAGATGTCAAAACTTTTGTCAGCTTGGAAATGTTTCTAAATTATCTCCCATTAGACTTGCAAACTTAGTGATTAGGGCTTTTAAATTGTGGTTTAATAATAGTTAAAAACAAAATAAAACCCTCAACAAGAAAATGATTTCTTGTATATCAATCATTGTAACACTTTACACCCATTAGGATGGCTACTGTTACAAAACAGAAAATAAGGGTGGGTGAGCATGTGGAGAAACTGGAACGCTTGTATAGGATTGGCGGGAAAGTAAAATATTACAGCCGATGTAGGAAACAATATAGCAGTTTCTTAAAAACTTCAACCTAGAAGCATCTTGTGACCCAGCCATTGTACCTACGGGTAGAAGAGAAATGAAGACAGGATCACAAAGAGATATCGCTTCCCTAGTGTTCAAGGCAATATTGTTCCCAATAGCCAAGAGGTAGAAACAACCCAGATGTCTACTGATGGACAGAAAAATAAAACAGCATCTGTCCCTCTAGTGGAGTACCGTGCAGCCCTAACAAGGAAAGAGATAATGACAGAGGCCACCCCGTGAAAGAGCATGTAGACGTCACTGAAGCTGAATACTCTAGTTTCGCTTATGATGCCCTGAAGTCATCAAATTCATACTGACAGGTCGGGCGTGGTGGCGCACGGCAGTAATCCCAGCACGCGGGAGGCTGAGGCAGGAGGATTGCTGTGAGTTCGAGACCAACCTGGGCTACATAGTGAGTTCCAGGTCAGTCTCAACTACATAGTGAGACCCTGTCTCAAAAACAAACAAACAAAAAAATTCATACTGACAGAAAGCAGAGAGATGGGCTGCCAGGATATGAGGGAAGGGCTGTAGAGGAGATACTTGTTTAACAGATACAGAAAAAGTAAGGATGGTACATTTATTTTTTCCCCTCCCTCCCACTCTCCCTCCCTTCCTTCCTTGTACTGGGGATTGAACCAAAAACCTTCACACTGAGCTAGATCTCCAACCCTTTCTATTCTATTTTTTTTATTTTGAGACAAAGTCTTGCTAAGTCTTTAAGTTGCCTGGGCTGGGATGGACCCAATCCTGCTGCCTCAGTCTCCTACAGTAGTGGAATACAGGCATGTGCCACTGTGCCCAGTTGGTAAATTTTATGTTAGTTTTTACCAAAAAAAAATTTTTTAAAAAAGAGTCATCACACAAATAGAACTTTTTAAAGTTTTGTACAGTCTTCAGAATATCACGGAAAAATAGAGGAAACAGATGAATCTCCAAAGAAAAATATCAATGTGTCAAGATTTAAAAAGCATACATGGTCTTTCAAAAAGGGTCTTGGGTGTACTCCCAGCTTCAGACATTGAAAGCGGCTGAAACGCTCCAACTTTGCCTTGGTTCAGAGGGGGTTGGGAAATGCAACTCCCCTGAATGTGAGTTAGGTACCCACTGTGGCTAAGCCTGTGCTGAGCAGTAGGGAAATGCCACTCCGTCTCTGCCCCAAAACATTTCTATTGCAGACGGATTATCAGTCAGATTCTTTTTCTTCTTATTTGTAGAACTAAAATGTCAAGGGAAAGCCCACTTTGGGTCCCCCTATCTTGGCCCCTTCTTGGGTGTCTGCCTGTCCTGGTTGTTCTAAGCTCCCCTCTACCCTACTAGAAGCAGCAGCCCTCTCCTCACAGTTCCAGCAAAGATCTGGGTGGATCTCTGGGGTTTAGCTGTGGGTGGGCAATAAGCTTATCCTGACCATGGAGCCTGGCTGTCTGTGGGGAGAGGGGCTGGGTGTTTTGCCATCAGAGGTTTCTTCCGCCATCAGAGGTGTACAGAACGCCGGCGATCTGAGGGGAAGTGAAGGTTGATTTGGCAACTACGGCAGTGGTAGCTGAGGCAGTGAGAAGAGCAGGGGAGTAAGCCTGGCGAAAGCAAGGAGCTGGACACGGCAGGGACGTGCAGAGAGGCGTTGAGAGCATTCCCTTTGACATCAGGAAAGCCCGCATTCAAATCCCCGCTCTGCTACTTGCTTTTGGGCAGATTCCTGAATTCTGTGCGGCCTGTCTCTGTGTGGGGAGCTGGAGGTAACGGTACTCGTGTCCCTGGGTCAGCTGGACAGTGTGTCAGACCGTGTCACCAGCACCGGGAAAACATCCTACAGATGAGCTATTCTGACTCTTACCCGACACGGGTGTGGGCCTAATGATGGTGCCATCTCGAACTGTGGGGCCCCGTAACAAGGGTACGAGTCACTGGCTTTCTGCCCCTCCTGTAGCGACAGGTGGCTGACAGCTTGTGCCAGGCTGGCCCAGAAACATGCTTCCCTGTTGTCCCCGCAGAGGCGAGAAGCATGGCTTCATCACCTACCGGTGTTCTGAGCATGCGGCCCTGTCCCTGCAGAATGGCACCACCCTGAGGAAGCGCAACGAGCCCTCCTTCCGGCTGAGCTCGGGCAGGCTCCGGCACTCCTGCTGGCCCCAACACACCGACTGCGGTAAGCACCCAGGGCCCAGCCACAGGCCAGCAGGACACAGAGCCTAAAAGGCAGTGGCTTTTAGTGATGGCACCCAGACCTAAAGCCCCTTCGGGATGTGGCTCCCTGCCCAAGCCCACTGGCTGAAGGGCGTAACTCCAGCCCTCTGCCTGGAGGCCGCCATCCTGTTTTTGCACTGGTCTCTGGTCCACTTTGTCCTGTCTCGTGACTGGCACCAAAAACAAAGTCAAGCCTCCATGGCCTCTAGGAACCATGACCTCCCTGGCCAGCTGCTGCCCTGGTTGAGGAAAAGGGACTCCGTGGTGACCCCAACAAGGCAGGGGTTCTGTCCATTAAAGGACCACAGCGTGACAACGCTGTCATCGTGCCACTGCCACTCGGGGACAAGTTGGTAAAGAAAGGCAGACAAGAGCAGTGTAATGGAGAGCCCAAGGTCACCTTCACAGTCCAGGACCGAGTATCCGGGACTAGGTGGGGCCCGGGCCAGAAGCACACCTGTTTTAGGGACCCAGCCCCCGTCTGCACACCCAGCTCTGTTGGTGCTGCTCCCTTATGTGACTCAACAACAGGCTACTAATGGCTGGGACACTGCTAGGGCAAGTAGGATTCTGGGATGCTAGAGATGGACAGGAGCTCTAGAATATTCTTGCTCAAGTGCCCTTTGCTCTGTAAGACAGAGGCAGCCTCCTAGAGATCTCCATGCTTACCGTCCGGTGCTCATCTCTCCTCTGATGCCTGGGCTACACCCGCTCCGCGGGGGCCCCCTCTTCCGGGGCAGATGTGCCAGTTGTCTGGCCTTTATAAACGCTCACTGATCCTCTCCCTCCCACTGACCCCCCAGACGGCAATCCAGAGGAGGCCCTTCCTGCATCTGGGAAAAGCAAGTACGAAGCCATGGATTTTGACAGCTTGCTGAAAGAGGCCCAGGAGAGCCTACACTGATAACAGCCTTAACCTCCGAGGAATACCTCAATACCTCAGACAAGGCCCTTCCTATATGTTTACGTTTTCAAAGAAAGAAGTAGATGAGAAAGAGCGAGCGAGCGAGCGAGCGTGGGAGAACACGTGAGAGAGACTTGAAACTACTGTCCTTTTAAAAAAAAAATCGATGTTTACATTGCACAAAGCTGCTTCTGTCTGTGAGTTTCCATGATGTCGATGTTCTACTGCCACATTAGGGTCCTCGCTTCCAAAGGGTCGTCCTGGGTACGCCTCGAAGTGCGGGGTCAGTCACCCACTGCTCCCCCGCCCGACTGACTTCCTCTCGTAGACTTGCAGCCTTTTCGTCATAACATCTCCTGTCTGTAGTGTGTGATGATGAAACTGTCACTTGTGAATAGAATCAGGATTATCAACTCATTTTTAACCGAACAAAAAAAGTATATCCTTAAAATAACGTATCTATGGCTCAGATGTACTGTGCCCCAGATTATTGTATCGCTTCCTTGATTTTTAACTATGCACAGTCACGAGGTGTTTGCCATTGAGCTGAGCTGCTCCCCTGCGAGATGGCCCTGGAGGTGCTGGGGGTGCCGGGAGGCTGGTCCCCGGGAAAGCACAGCCTGCAGCCCCAACAACTAGGAACAGTGGAGAGATGGGCCTTTTCTGCCAAGTCCTGCCATGACTTATTTGGAGCAAGTTTGGGTCTAGTTACAGCCCCATCTGTCAGTGCTCAGATCTTGTGTGAAGCCAGGATGAGCCACATTATTTTCATTTTCCAGGGGAAGCCTCAGGGCCGTGCAGGGCAAAATGACCTGCCGTGTTCAAGGCCATTAAGAAGGCAGAGCGGTGACTCAGCCCAGGCCTTCTTCTCCTGGTCACTCCTGCAGTAGCTGGGGTGAAGATGCCATGCTCTGGGACTGGCGGAGGTGTGTTAGGCTGCCTTGGGCACCAGACTAGAAGCCAAAGGCCTCATCTGGGAGATCAATTGGCTGTGGACTCATGAGCACTAGGCAAGTCCCAGTCCCAGCGTGATCAGCAGGATCAGCTTTGATCCTGAGTGAACACAGCTTCAGGACTCTGAAGTGTCTCTGCAGTGGTCCGGATGGACCTACTGGTCTAAGAGCGGTCATCCTGTGGGGGCCAGCTACCAGCCCGTCCTGCTACTTCACCTTGGCCTCATCTGTGATGCAGTTTTGATGGCTAGGGCAGGGGCACGAGGAGG